CCATTATTAGTCTCAAAGTGGGTTCCTCGTAATCGAATTTGAAATCCAAACATTGTATTTGTGTTAAGTCTGTTATTAGAAAAATTGTTCATTCTGTGTTCACTTTCTATACCGTCTCGATATATTTCATTCAACATCACGACTCAGTTCTTAAGAGATGTGACATCATTTCATAATCAGTATCTTGACCGAATATTTTGTAATTAGACGGACCTATTCAAAGGTTAACTCCATAATACCTGAATATATCCCAATGGGCTATATAGAAAGGAAATTTAAAAGCCTAAGCTAACTCCAAAGAGTATTTTTTTATCAAACAGCTGGTCTGTGAAAGTTTCTTTAAAAGAGTTGCCTCTACTGGTTATATAATTTTTGTATTTATGATAAACGTGTCAATAGTAATGCACACAATTTAACAGTCTAAGAAAACACTCACGATACTGTATGAGCCAACGCAAGATCAAAATACTCCAATCTGAAATGGGCAAATAAATGACTAACTTCCTCAAAAGACACATTTAAATGTAGAAACGTAATAAACGTTTATCAAAATAGTTCATAGTTTAGCTGACTAAACATTAACGAACGTGTTGAAAGTAAAAGAAGAGACATATAAAACAAGGTGAAATAAATATTTGATAACTTAAACGAGTAGCAAAGGAGAGGATTAAGCTAGCTCTCTTGTTAGTGATGACGTCAAGAAAACAGTGAATAAATGAAAAGAATGACGTGAACGAAAGAAAAACACAATGATATAAATATCATATATTAAATCATAAAGGTTGTCGAGAAGTAAATGATTACTAGTTACACGAGTAAAAAAGTACTTGGTAAATGAAACAAGCTACGAGGAAAAAGTAAGTGAGCGAAAGAAACGAACTTCCAACATAGTGTTTAATAGTAGAATAAACGAGAGAAACAGGTATAATTAAAAAAAGGTAGATTAATTAAACAACATAGAATTATTGTAGCTAAGGAAGTTGTATAGTGAACGAATAATGGGATATTGCTATCGATATTAACTAAAAAAAAATAATTTTCTTACCCTGGGCGACGTCGATGATGACTGTAGAACTTTGAGTCACGTGCTGCCAGAGATGTTTGAGCTTCACGTGTTTTTTCTAGTGCTTCTCTGTAAGACACTAATGAGTTGGTTCGTGCTTTTAATCGTAGAGGTAATGTCGACAGCAGCAACAGCGATACAACAAGAATGAGATTTTTTCCAGGCCAGTTCCCAGGCTTCATCATATTGCTAATTGTCATCTGCTTGATGGAACAGTCACAAAAAGAAACTTAGATTCGTGATTGGAGTCTAATATAGTTTCATCCTGTTCATGTACTAGGACCAATCTACAAGAAGAAAAGAGTCAGAGGATTTATAGGCAACATCCTGCTATGTAGTTCTACTTAACGTCGGATGCGAGTCACTGTATGGTGTAGCATTATACACCGTATATTGTGTTGACTAGTAAAACTTCTTTTTTTTTTATTTTTACTCCTGCACTTCAAAACATGGGAGAAGAGTCATAATGTGTCAGTGGTTTATCACTCAAGAGCAGTTCACAAGCGCCTGCGTAAGGTCAAAGCTGGTAAATTCTGTTTTTCCGTTTATGGCCTTCTATATCTATCTACTTAATCCAATTTCATTTCTAACCACTTTGTTAATGTCGTCATCAACATGAACGATTAAAAACACGGTGCTTTCTACGACAACAGATTTTCATGTTTGAATTACTTCAACTAAACTGCTAGTGAGCTTTATATGGTTATTTAGTTGTCAACATAAAAATTGGGAAACTTTGCAACGAGGTAATTTTATAAAACGTTTCCATAACTTTAACACTCTAATTGTATCTGCAACTAATAATAGTTTAATGGGATCTTACAATAATTTCTTGCAATACTTTAACTCAATAATATCTCATTATTATGTGTTAATAGCAAAATGGAAATCTAAAGTGATGCTAACGACGGTCATTTTTATAAAGCAATTTTTGAAACAAAAAATTGGGAACTTGAACATTAATTTCTTCTCCTCATTTTCTTTAATGAATTATTGTTTCATTTATGAAAATAGTTGTACATTTAATCTGATATAGCCATGTTAATTTTCGTCAACTAAACAAACATGAATTTGAATCTGTTCGAATCGAGCCCAAAATTTTATCTGTTAGCCATAGTGATGACTCGCTCAAATTAAAATAACCTTTTTTTGTAGGAAGTTCGTTAAAATCCTGCAGCCAGTTGTGACCTAATGGTAATTTTGGGCAAGGTCGCGTTGTATATATATATGACATTCAGTTTCTTTATCTGCTTCGAAAGAGCTAAACACAGACTTTGTAGTGGCAAGTGCTGTTTGCTGCCTGCTTTCTCACTAGTCAATAGAACAAAATTAGACACAGCTATACTTGAATCTCAAGAGTCACTAATATGGCCGTTAAGCCCACGTATGCACAAGTCATTGTTCTGGTTGTAAATAGTTCCATTGTTTACTAAACAATAACAATAAAATAACCAGAAAGCACAACATTTTAAAACCACGTGGACTCAAAAAAGTAGATAAATCACAATCTAAGCAACTAGATAATCCGAGCGCTTTCGCTATTCAAAACATTCGTGTTATCGCGTTTTTGATTTAATAATAAGATAATTAACTCATTCATGATTATGTTTTTCCGTATATTTTAGCAAGAGTGGTAATTAAAAATACAACTTGCTGACTGGAAAAGCAATGGCTTCGTAGCGATTTACTCCTTGTTGTTATTAAGTTCCATGTTAGTGAAATACATTTAATCATAACATAAGAAAATGCTATAAACGCTAACCGTAGCTAGCGAAACAAACGAACATTGTATTCTGTGTTCCTACATAAAGATAAATACTTATATAAATATAGAATTCCTATATCTGAATGAAATATACTGAACAGCTGGAGAAATCAAATGTCTATCTGGGCTTATTATATCTAAGTTTAGATTCAAACATACTAGTATATCCATCTTGTTATGTTAAACTGATGCTGTTATGATGACAAAAGTAACACTAAATTCCAGCAACAATTAACTTCTCACAAAACCACTTTAAGACGTTTATGTCTGGAACATTGTTTCCTTAAGCCTACGCCATATATATATATTACCGATTTTATTAAGATTATATCTAGAAAATGTGGTCAATGACACTGATATAAATTTTGTGTCAATTCATGACCCGTTTTATACTATATGGATCAGATGGACTCTTGAATTTTTTTTTCTTTACGTTAGTGTGACCAATGCTCAGATATGAACGAACACGTTTTTAGAGATTTTAAGTGGCTAGAGATCCAAAGAAAGACTTTGTAGAATTGACTATCCTAGTCTTGTGAATGACATCATAGTCTTTACAGGTTTCACAAATTAACTGACCTACTCCTGACGATAAAATCAGACTTGTTAGGGTTCAGTAAACTAACTGTCCTACTCCTGAGAACGACATCAGACTCACTATGGGTTCATTTCTACTCCAGAAAGTAACATCAGATTCGATATGGGTTAGTAAACTGAATCCCCTACTCCTGAAAGTGACATAAGACTCTTTATGGGTTTAGCAAGCTGACTGTCCTAGACCTGAAGATGATATAAAACACTATCTTGGTTTAAGAAACTGACTGCTCTACTCCTGAAGGTAATATAAAACTTTATACGAGTTTAACAAACTGACTGCCCTACTCCTGAAGATGACATAAAACTCTATATGGGTTTAACAAACTGACTGCCCTACTCCTGAAGATGACATAAAACGCTATATGGGTTTAACAAACTTACTGCCCTACTCCTGAAGATGACACCATACTATTTAAAGGATCAGCAAACTTAGTGTTCTACTCTTGAAATTGAATCAGAATCTTTATGGGTATAAGAAACTGGCTGCCCTCCTCCAGAATGTGGCATAAGACTATTTATGGGTTCAGCAACTGACTATTGGCGATAACGTCAGAAAAGTTTCAGCTTACTAAAAAAGTTATAAAAAATATTTCTAGAAACCTTCATTCAGTATGAATTTGACTTTCAGAATAAAGTACTTAATCTTAAATTTGTTTTTTTCATTGTAGTGACGGGGAAGGCTGGTTCTGTGACTGTAAAGTCTGCCCTATTCATGAAAATGACATAAAACTCTTAATGGGTTTAGCAAACTGACACCTCTACCTCTGAGTCAATGTAGAGGGAAATTATTTTCTTACCTCCTACCTCTTCTGAAATACAGTATCAACGTTAACATTGCGATATTGCTGTTGGAAGTTAACCTAAAATATATTATTGTGTATTAAGAAACTTTAACGATGCTAATGTTAACACGGGAAGAGTACAAACTAGGAAAACATATCAGCAAATTTCAGAAAATAAACGCATATAAATGGATAAGCAGAACTGAGATATCGAATGTTATACAAATCTTGAAAATATAGTGCAATAAAGATAAACGCAGACTCAATTACAAGGCTTGAACAAATTAATAAATACGGTTTACAGACTCTACTTTCAACTTAGTTCTGGCTAGATCAAGCGTTATTTTGCTAAACACCAGCATATGTAGAATTTCATTCAATATAAACACGGGCGCTATATATACATATATATATATATATTGCATTTTTTACATATTTACTTCGTATTTGCATAGCACAGCTGAGAAACTAATGTGTTGACAATCTTAATTTGACGTTTAGATATCCAATGACTGGGTGTATCTGAATTATTGATAAAGTAACCAGTCTTCTTTAAATATACTTTTATTAGCTGTTGAAAAGCTTACTTACTCTCGAGTTGGGTACTGCATACAGGCTCTTCTTGTATTCCACCCGCGTTTTCTTTTTTTTAGGTTTACTGCTATGTGAAGATTTGTGTCTTGCCTACGTGAACATAAATCGTGCGAGAAACATATCACGCGCTCGCTTTAGGAGTGGCGATTTATTCTTCCCTAGCCTACTTACTCTTTTGATCTTGTATAGTGAACAGAAGCGCGTAGAGATCAAGCATGGTGTATTGTTGAAAGAGTATATACAAACGTGTGTTATCTTACACGATAAAATTAATTTGACCAATCCACAAATTCCTCAACAAAACAACCCAAGATATTGTTTATTTGTAATTAAGCACAAAGCTACACAATGGGCTATCTGTGCTCTGCCCACCACGGGTATCGAAACCCGGATTCTAGCGTTGTAAGTCCGCCGACATACCGCTGTGCTACTGGGGAGCAACCAAAGATAAAGTTATACAACAGCATTGACATAAAAACATCTGAACCAAAAAAACTAAGTTAAGGAAAATCGGCTTGTCAGCTTGAATTTCGTAAGGCTGAAATTTTGTCTTTAATGTGGGTTCTATACCAACATATAATCTTTCGTATCTCTCCTTAGGCCTAAAGAACACGTGGTCTAATTTGCAGTAGTCAAAGTAAACTTATTTCTATCTAAAGTTGCATCCTAACTCATTTGTATTGCTTACATAGGATATTTATTTAGTTATCAAAGAAACGTAACAAAATATAGATGTTTAGAATTAACTGAATCATTATTAAGACCGATACTGTAACTATACCAAGTCATTTCAAACGAAAATTATAATTTTACAATTCACTGTCAGAAAAAGCATTACTTTTTTGGTTCTAAAATATATATGCTATGTAATACTCCACGTGTCTCGTTGAACGACGTTCGGTTGCAATTAAAATTGAATTCCACTACCTTTCTGCATATAATGATATTTTAGGTTAATACAGAAACATAAACGTATATATATATATATATATATATAAACTTTATTAATTAACCTTACAGCCTTTTTCTAGCCAAATAAAAATCACAAAGTAAGTATAATGATTATGAAAATAAAAATTTTGAGACGCGTACTGATACAGTCATTTAATCTCAGTCGTAATCTCACAGGATATTGAAAATTTTTCTTTCAACTGCCATGCGGTAGTGAAAGTCATCCGTTGAGGGTTCTCTCCACCTCTTACGATCCAGCTGGAGTGTGTTTCCGTTGTCTTTGAAAAGGATTTCCTGTTTTGGTGCACTTGTTACTAAACGGTGTGAAGAAACATTCTGGGAAACATTGCGGCAAAGGACAGAACAATGAGAGTGCTATATTTTGTTACCCCCAGTTATAATCAGATATTACAGTTCAACCAGTCATGATATAATGGGAACTAATATATATTCCAGCTACTTGTGAACCAGCACGGTTACGGCGAAGAGTGTACACACGTTATCAAAATATATCTTCTACAGTTAGATATTCTTGTAATAACACAATATGTTTGTTTTTTTCTAAATCAATTTATTCAAAACATTTGAAATACTTAGA